AGTTTTCTTAACATAAAGTTCGACCGCACGGCACCTATTATTTAGGGTACCCCAGAAGGGACCATAATTTTGACAACTACCCAAGTGACTATCGAGAGTTTTTGAATGTAGTCCAGGGCCTAGACTCAGGCAAGCTAGGGTCGAAAAGAGCTTCAAAAGATAGCTTCGGAAGTACAGCCTACACGTCATAACTACACCTTGCCAGGGCGGGGTGTAGATCCGAGCGAAGAGCAAGACAACAAAGACAGTGTGATATGGAAAAGCAGATCACGCAGCGAAGGCGAATAGGTCGAGGTGTCTATTTACAGGAAAGGTCTGTAGCTTATTCTCAGTGACAGCGCGCCGCATAGAAATTTAGGGCTATGGGATCTTCGCGAACGATGATGACATCCTTCGTAAGGGGCCCTGGCTTGGTACTTTCTGCAAGGCTTGCGGGCACTTGGCACTGGACGTTGTCCCTTTGGACGAGTTTCAGGGAGCCATTTTCTCCCCGGCCCCCTTCTCATCCCTTCTCCTCCCCTACTGCTGCTATTGCTATGCTAGAGTTACATATTCCCCTCCCTCAGGGCGAAAGGATCCGCAAGGTTGTGTGGCTTGGTAGGCCTACGCAACTACTCAGAGCCCCGGGCATTGGGCTTTAGGCGCCAAGATGTGGCGCGCGTGCACGGCCATGCGACGGCCAGGGGAAAACCTCGGCTCCGTCTGTCGCAAGCAGTGATGGCAATCAGAGTACTCGTAGATGTCAATGTCCAGTATGCCACTGTCGCTCTTGCCATCGCTACCAGGTACATGCATTCTCGGCTGCAGACAAAGAGAGGGGAGACAGGGCAGAGGTGGCTGTGGCTCGAGGACTTTGCATATTAATGGGGTTTGGTGTTCAGGGTGGGTCTGATGCGGGGGGGATCCTTGCAGCTAAGAGGCATGCAGACAGAAAAGGCCAAGGCCTCGAGGCCTGACAAACAGGACATAGAAGCTCCTGGATGCCAGTGGAAAGACGATTGCTGTGCTACTCCTTCTGAGCCGGAACGGCGGGATCCCCGCTCTTTTTACAGGTGGGGGGTGCTCGCCCAAACGAGCTCTCTACAGCCAGAGGCACAGCAGCCAGCTCTAGTGTAGTGCTGCAACTCTTCTCTTGCCCTGGTCCTCGGTTCTTTTGCCAAACTTTTTCCTCAGCTTCCTGCAGCGCCGCGTGAAAATCTCGCAATGCTCCCCCCAAGCCATCTTCGACGCCCTGGTACTCCTCTGAACTCTGACAGCGATGGATACAAAGCTATCGGAGTGTTGAGGGCTAGGGTTAGGCCCTGAACTCTAAAATGAGGGCTCAGGCGCCAACGATTATCAGGACCGAAGGTTCAGAGTCTGAGCGAACTAGCTTTCGCGAAGTGGTTTGGGAGGGTTGTGGTTTTGGAAGGTTTCGCGGCTGTGAGGAGTGTATTAATCCTTATCAGCAGTATGAATTATGCAGGTCCACTGATGAACAGTCAGGCAGGTATATAGTCGGGTTCTTGGCCCTCATACCTACGCGCGCTTGGCAAAGCCACAAAAAGATTGGGCACTCACTGCCCTGCCATCAGGGATGGCAGATCGCTGCAGGTCGGCGAGGAAGGCAACGTCCTCGGCGCAATACCTCAAGAGAAGTGCCCAAAAGCGGCAATCTGAAGAATGCGAATTGCTGCTAGCTGCTGGTTGCGCGGAGCAAGACTCTTCGCGGATAAGTGACATAATTGCGGAGCAACCAAACTGCCAATAACAATTATGAAAAATGAGGGGGGCGACGAGGACGACTTCTCGACAAAGACCGGAATGAGCATCATGACGAGACTGATGATGCAACCAGCTTCATCAGTGTTATGCTAGTCACTAGTCACTAGTCTTCATCATCATCTTCACCAACAGGATCACGCATGCCTCAAGACCCCAAGTCTTGCTGTGATGGTTGGCAATCATCTATGACTCCGGCACCGACGCTCACGGAGGGTGTATGCAGACTCGGCTCCTTGCAGCAGGGCTGCCTGAGCTTCGCCCCTTGGGCCTCCGCCCTCGCGAAAGAGAAGATGTCGCGAAACTGCTTGGGAGAGATCTGTATCGGGCAGCTGAAGTGGGCTGGCACAGCCCGGACAAAGCCCCATGAAGAGATAGTGTCCTCGGCACGGTGACTGGATCATACAGGATCATCAACGCAGTATCGGCACTGTGTTGAGGCGAGAGAAAAGGGGTTTTCCAGGTCTGGGCGAGAGTCAACATATGCCCGGGTCTTTTCGGGCTTTTGCTTCAGGATGAGCTCTTGGATGATGGGCGCCACGAAGGGCTTCCTCAGACGAAGAATATATGACGTGCATGCGAAGACATGGAGGACTGCACCCCCCCCCCCCCTGCAATGCATGCTCGCGCAACTCTCGTCATAGCCCAGGAGCCCATCGTTACGAAGGCGTCGGAAGCTTTCCTGCCGAACACAGGATCCCACGGGCTTGTATACTGTCTGGACTACAATGACTGCCCTCCTACTACCACGACTACTACTACTACTACTACTACTACTACTACTACTACCTCTACTACGAGTACTCCTACCTCTACTACTACCGCTGATACTACTTCTACTACTACTACTACTACTACTGCTGCTACTACTACTACTACTACTACTACTAGTACCTCTACTACTTCTACCACCTCTACTACTTCTACCACCTCTACTACCCCTACTGCCTTTACTACTTCTACCACCTCTACTGCTGCTACTACCACTACTACTACTACTACTACTACTACTACTACCACCACCTCTACTACTACTACTTCTACTACTACTTCTACTACTACTACTACTACGATTACTACTACTACTACTACTACTACTACTACTCCTACTCCTACTCCTACTCCTACTCCTACTCCTACTCCTACTCCTACTTCTCCTACTACTACTACT